TTATCAGACACTGTTAAATAAACAAAATATTGCAAGACTACTAATGTTTTAAACATGTTTTTATTTTAAGTTTAAAAAACACACCCTTTGTGTTTGTGTCCTTTATAAAGTTTATATCTCTGCTACCTGGCATTACATTTTATGACACACATGGCCCAGCCCAACAAGGTCTCATTTATGTCAGATCTGGCCCTCATAACAAATGAGTTTGACACCCCTGCCATTTTCTCCGGGGGGGACTGATCACTACCGCATGGAGATCAGTCGTAATAGTGGGAGACCTCCATCTACTACCTGGAAGTTGGCAGCCCTAAATGCAAGCAGTGCCAAGGAAGAGAGTGACAGCAAAAGAAAGCTGCCCAAGTGGTTGTGTCTTTACCATTGACATGTAATGTTAAGCTTGAAACCTCAGCCGGATTCTAATCTGGAACAACACCATTGGCTGAAGCCTGTACTGTAACCAATGAAATGTAAGAGTCTGTGCTGGAGGGAAGACAAATGATTGGTCGTTATCCATGTAATGTGATTGGATGTTAACTATGTGAGGGCGTGGCTACACCAGCCCGGGAGAGTTTAAAAGGAGCTATGCTCCACTGTTATCTCTCTGTGTGGAGTTGTGTGTTGTCTGATGCTGTGCGATCTTTTGGAAGTTCTCGTTCTCAATAAAGCTGAATCACTTGTTACTTACTTCGTTGTTGAGTTCCATACTTAACACAAGTGACCTCAGTGGACAAGCATTCTGTTGACACAGACGAGCAGGCAATCACATATCACATATCATGCACAGTTCTTTGTATTTGTTGAGATGATTCATTAAAAACTTAAAAAAACCATCCTCTGTTGTCTTAATTTTGTACAATTATCGTTCCAGTAAAATCAGCACATGATGATTTGCAAGGGTTTGAATAGAACATTTAAACCACACAAAATTTTCCTTAGTCAAATATTCCAGTTCGAGTAAGTAACCAGTGCGATCAGGATGAAAAATTTGGCATTTTCAAAGTTTCCTCTTTTCTCTGTTTAACAGCACTCAGGACTGGTGGGTTACCCCCCCCCCCAATAGTTTTAGCAAGTATTTTGGCTGGCTGCCAGATTCAAACGGGTTGCCAACTTCCAGGTGGGGTCTGGGGACTCTCTGGAAGCACAACTGATCTCCAGATGACAGGAATCAGTTTACTGCGTGCCTAATCTTAACCAGCCTTTTGCCAGGTAATAAAAAAGCCAATGAACACATGAAGCTGCCTGTAATAATTTCATCTTCTGGTGTGTGTGTTTCTTTAAATGTTTAGTTTGACTGCAGTAATGTAAGAAGAGTGATAGAGGGAGACAAGCGTGATGTGATTGGCTGATGACTGAGAGTGTGGGAGGAGGGGTGTCTAAGAGAGTGATTCTGTGTGTGAAGTTTGAAGAGAGAGCATAGTCTGTGTGACTATGGGAGTTTTTGAGTCTACTCTGTGTGAATAAGACAAAGAGTTCAGCCTGTGCAGCTATATATAAGAGAGAGAGAGAGATTAGACTGAGTGTCTGTACCTGTCAGAGTGGAGTTTTGGGAGTCTGAGAGACTGTTTGTGACACCAACCTTTGCCAGTTATATTTACAAGTTCCTTTCATCAGCAACAGTTCAAAATAACCAGAAATCTATGTTGTTCTTTATTAAATAAATCATTTTTTTTGTTGAAACTTATCCCAGAAATCAGAATAGTCCTTCCTCAGGGCCACATAGTCCTCTGAAGTGCCCAGACCGTAGGTCATTCTACCAAAAGAGAGAGATTTGGAGTTTTTAATTCCTGGTGGCAGCAGAAATCTACCAAGTTTAGGTACACAGAGAGTTTTTTAAAGGTATTTATTTTTATTTTATTTATTTGATTTTTATCCCGCCCTCCCGCCGAAGCGGCTCAGGGCGGCGTCTCCCCAATAAGCGAGCACGTCACACTGCCTTATACTGAATCAGACCCTTGGTCCATCGAAGTCAGTATTGTCCACTCAGACTGGCAGCGGCTCTCCAGGGTCTCAGTCAGAGGTCTTTCAAATCATCTACTGCCAGGTCTCTTAACTGGAGACACCAGGGATTGAACATGGGACCTTCTGCATGCCAGGCAGATGCTCTACCACTCAGCCACAGCTCCTCCCAATCGTATCTTGCCCTATTAATATTCAGAATTGCTCTGAGTCTTTATGTAGCTTGCGGAGTGGCTTGATGCACTAGACATGTTATTCTAGCAGCTATGTTTGGGGCTCTATGTTAATGCTAAATGCGTGCTTATCCTGTTTTCTTTTTTTAAAGGCACTGACAGAGGCACTTGGTTTACGCTGTACAACAACACACACAAAACAAAGAAATGATATGTTGATTACACTTTGGCTACTTCCGACTCAGCAAAACATGCAGTCAGAGGTTAGTAAGAGGTCTCTAAGGTGCTACTAAATTTGCAACTAGCTCTTCTATTGCAGACCAACAGGGCTACCCTCTGAGACTGTCCTCGTTGCTACCCTTATTTATTGATCCTATTTTAAGCCCACTTTTCAGCCAGAACTGGATCCTAAAGTGTTTCACAGGATGGCACCATAAATGGTAGAAACTTCCATGAGTCAGAGAGCCCACTTGGTTGGATACACGGCTCATGAAGTCCTTCGTGCTTCTGACAATGTGGGCCACCATAATTCTTGGATGGGGGACCACCAAGGAAGACTTTGCAGAGGAAGGCAAAGGTAAAACACCCCTGCTTCTCACTTGCCTTGGAAGCCCCTTTCTGGGGTTGCCATAAGTCTTGGATGGGAGCCCACCAAGCAATGCTCCCTCTAAGCTGTGGGGTCTTGTGAGCAAAAATTCTACTTTGTGACCTACTGGCATTAAAGGTGTGAGCAAGCGATTTGGCTGCTGCACAAATCAGTTTGCTCTGGAGCCTTCCTTCCTGAGCCAAGACAAAAAGGTGTGAGCCAGAGGCTGAAAAACTGTGAGCTAGCTTAGAGGGAACCCTGCCACCAAGTATAGCCCAGTCTTGTCAGATCTTGGAAGCTAAGCAGGGTCAGTAATTGGAAGGGAGACCAAGGAAGATCCTGCAAAGGAAGGCTATGGCGAACCCCCTCTGCTTCTCCCTTGCCTTGAGAGCCCCTTACTGGGGTCTCCATAAGTCTTGGATGGGAGACCACCAAGGAAGACTCTTCCGAGGAAGGCCATGGCCACCCACCTCTCCTTCTCCCTTGCCTTGAAAGCCCCTCGCTGGGGCCGCCATAGGGCTTGGATGGGAGACCACCAAGGAAGACTCCGCAGAGGAAGGCTATGGCCACCCACCTCTCCTTCTCCCTTGCCTTGAGAGCCCCTCGCTGGGGTGACCATAGAGATTGGATGGGAGACCACCAAGGAAGACTCCGCAGAGGAAGGCTATGGCCACCCACCTCTCCTTCTCCCTTGCCTTGAGAGCCCCTTGCTGGGGTTGTTTCCAGGAGCCGACAACCCTATTCTCAAAGTTTCTAAAATGAGGGGACCAAAGTAGAGTTGCCAGGCCCCTCCTGGCCACCGGCAGGGGATGTAAGGTTGCCAGATTCATACTGGACAGGGCAGGGACCTCAGAAGGGTGCAATGCCACAGAATTCACCCTCCAAGGCTTCCATTTCCTCCAGGATAGTAAAAAGCCCAGCAGCACCTTTAAGACTCACAAACCGCATTGCAGCGTAAGCTTTCTGAGGCAGAGAGCTGTGTTAATCAGAAGCTTTGTTGTTGTTGTTCAGTCGCACAGTTGAGTCTGACTCTTCGCGACCCCATGGATCAGATCACGCCAGGCCCTCCTGTCTTCTGCCGTCCTCTGAAGTTGGCTCAATTTCATGTTCATTGCATCTATGACACTGTCTCACCATCTCATCCTTTGCCGTCCCCTTCTTCTTTGACCTTCAATCTTTCCCAGCATCAGGGTCTTCTCCAGTGAGTGCTCCCTTCTCATTGGGTGGCCAAAGTATTTGAGC